TAAAAGACAGACTCCTGGTCTATGTACAGTTTCCTCATGAGTACAATTAAGTGTTCTGGAATTCCCATTCTTCTCAATGTTACCCACAATTTGTTATGATCCACACAATCAAATGCCTTTGCATAGTCAATAAAACACAAGTAAACATCTTTCTGGTATTCTTTGGTTTGAATTAAGATCCATCTGACATCAGCTATGATATCCCTTGTTTGACATCCTCTTCTGAATCCAGCTTGCATTTCTGGAAGTTCTCTGTCAATACATTGCTCAACTGTTTTTGAATTATCTTCAATAACATTTTACTTGTGTGTGTTATCAGTGATACTGTTTGATAATTTCCACATTCTGTGGGATCACTTTTCTTTGGAATGGGTACAAATATGGATCCCTCTAGTCAGTTGGCCAGGTAGCTGTCTTCCAAATATCTTGGCATAGCCACATGAGTGCCTTCAGCGCAGCATCCGTTTGGTGAAACATATCAATGGGCATTCCGTCAGTTCCCAGAGCCATGTTTTTTGCCTATTCCTTCAGTGCAGTGTCAACTTCTTCCTTCAATACCATTGGTTCTTGATCATATGCCACTTCCTAAAATGGATGATCATCTACCAATTCTTTTTGGTACGGTGACTCTGTATTTCATCCATCTTCTTTTGATGTTTCCTGCATCATTCAACATATTTCCCAAGGAATCTTTCAATAGTACAATTTGAAGCTTAAATTTTTTCCTCGTTCTTTCAGCTTGAGAAATGCTGAGTGTGTTCTTCTCTTTTGCTTTTCTAACTCCTGGTCTTCGCACATTTCATTACAATAATTGACTTTGTCTTCTTGAGCTATTCTTTCAAATCTTCTGTTCAGCTCTTTTATCCTGTCAATTCTTCCATTTGCTTTTGCTACTCTCCATTCAAGGGCAAGTTGCAGAGTCCCTTCTGACATCCATTTGGGTCTTTTTCTCCTTTCTTGTCTTTTTAATGACCTTTTGCTTTCTTCATGGTTGATGTTCTTGATATCCCACAATTCCTCTGGTTTTCAGTCATTGGTGTTCAACGCATCAAATCTGTTCTTTAGATGGTCTCTAAATTCAGGAGGGATATAATCAAGGTCATAATTTGGCTCTTATGGTCTTGTTTTAATTTTCTTCAGCTTCATCTTGAACTTGAATTTGAGCAGTTGATGTGTCTATTCCACAGTCAGCTCCTGGCCTTGTATTAGTTGAAGATATGGAGCTTCTCCATCGCCTCTTGCCAGAAATGTAATGAATATGATTCCTGTATACTCCATTTGGCGAAGTTCACATGTATAGCTGCTGTTTGTGTTGTTGAAGAATGGTATTTGAGTGAATAAGTTGTTGGTCTTACAAAATTCTATCATGTGATCTCCAGTGTTATTTCTATCACCAAGGCCATATCTTCCAACTACCAGTGATTCTTCCTTGTTTTCTTCACCTTTTGCATTCCAATCACCAGTGATAATTAACACATCTTGATTGCATGTTTGGTCAATTTCCAACTGCAGAAGTTGGTAAAAATCTTCAGTTTCCTTCTCTTTGGCTTTTGTGGTTGTTGCGTAAATTTGAATAAGAGCAGTATTAACTGGTCTTCCTTGTAGGTGTATGGATATTACACTATCACTGACAGTATTGTACTTCAGGACAGATCTTGATACATTCTTTGTGACGATGAATGCCACAGCATTCTTCTTCAATTTGTCATTCCCAGCATAGTAGAACTCAGGATCATCTGATTCAAAATGGCCAGAAATAGTCCATTTTGACTCACTGATGCCCAACATATCAATCTTTATGGGTTCCATTTCATTTTGACAACATCCAATTTTCCTAAATTCATACTTCTTTGTTGTTGTTGTTGTTGTTAAGTGCCGTAGAGTCGTTTCCGACTCATAGCGACCCCATGCACAGCAGAACGAAACACTGTCCGATCCCGCGCCAGCCCCACAATCC